ATCTTACCCAAGGGTCTGCAAAGGCCATCAATTCAGCTGAACAATTCATATAAAAGCTGCACGGTATTTGACTAATAAATGACGAAGTGATGGTATCATTCGATGTGACCTCACTGTTCACCGCAACACCTCTCAGATGAAACCATTCAAACCCTATTAGAAGAGCACCTGCCGCACCTGCTCTTTCTTCACCCATCTTGCTTTAATAACAAGTATTAGGACAACCAGCGGTGGCGCGGACTCAGCGGTTGACAAAACCAAACAGTCTGTCTATGCGTGCCACACAAGACCTGGATCACACTGCATTTAATAGACTACCGTAGAGGCTACTTCAGTCTCGCATCGGGAGGGATGCCATCTGGCGTTGCGCCAACAAATCGATGGCAAAGATCAAGGTCACTCTTGGGAGAGCTGTGCTAAATATGCAGTGAGCTGTACACTTTTTGTCCCTTGACAATGGGCTCGCATGGGAGTTCAAAAAGTCTGGCAAATAAACAATTGGTCCCAGTGTACGCTTTCTTGTTTTCTATTGAATTACCTGAGCATTGCATATTTTCGGCCATCCGTAGAGACTGGAATGTCCAAATTTATTCCCTCTGTATTAGAGGCAAAATAGAGAGGATTCTATTTTAGTGTACGAGATAATACTCTGCCTTGAGCAGGGATTGCGCGGTGAGTGGTACCTGTCGTCTCATGTCCGTGAACAAAGAAGCTGTGTGTGAAAATGTCTAAGCTTAATCTTCTCTCTGGAATCTTTACACAACGGACCATTGAGCAACAGAATAACCTCCCGCAGTCAGTCGTGGATGCGCCGTCCCTTAAAGTTCTTCCGAGAACGCCTGGATAATTATGCGTGTCCCCTGATGTTCCTGAACAACCTGAAGTCGAACTAACACCACAAAAATTCCAGACAAGAGTTATTTTTTTTAAAACAATGCTAATCAGAGTTTTTTAAAACTATTCTAAAAGTAAAACATGACTCGTGTGTATGTACAAATGTATATGACGCAGCAGCATGTGAATAATACCGTTTTCAAAAACAATGCCTATTACCCTCACCAAATAAACTGAAATCACTACTGAATCCACCCCATTAGGCACGTGCTGAACGTTGTCGCCCTTGACTGTGGATGTTTAGTATTACAAGTTCTAATTCGATTAGCCGATAAGGAGCTATTCACTGTGCCCTTGCTGGGCCTCATCTTCCAAGTCCTAGATATATTTAAGCTGGAGACGAGCTCGGGGCATAGTGTTCACCAGATAAAAAGTATGTAATGCAGCTATTTCTTGATAAATATATACAGCTAAATCATGTAGCAAAATCTAAATGCAATCTCACATGACGAGGCTTCATTTCTTATAGGGCTTTCGTTTAAAACAGACCATGGTGCATGGGGCCATTCAAAAAACATTTTTTTCTAGTAGTTCCGGTATAAAAAGGACCTGCATTTTCAGCTGGGTGACTTAACAATTAAGAAAAACTAAATATGCGCGAACTGCAATGCAACTTCCAGCTGCTTACTCAAATTCCTTCATAAGGGCCGTATAAGCCTCATTTCTGCGTTGAAGGCCAATTAGGCTGCTGTTCCAGTGAGCCATCAAACGTTTACGATCTGCCCGGATGCCCATAATTTGAGCATCCATCTCGTGCAGCAGGTTTTCACCTCCGCGAAGGTCCGACTCCTGAGCGATGAGTTGTTGCTCCAAGAGTTCACAGTCCTCCGTCAGCTGGTCAATTGTAAGCTGTAGACGATTGGCTAGCATATCCTGATGCCGTTTCTCATCTTCCATCTTTAAAGATTAGACGCCGGGGATATCAGTCAGTATATTCAGAGTAAATTCAAGAAACCCCTAAAAACTTCATTGAAACGGTACAGGAATGCATAAAAAGTGGTGCATATGCAAAAATGGTTACAAGTCGCTTTATTATGCAAAAGTGTATAAAGTATTTAGGAAATATGAATGGTTAAAAAGTGAGGCATTTTCGAAATAACAGCCTTAACAAGTTCACTGCATTTCCATTCTGCAATGTGCACCTCAGCCACTTGTAAATAAACGGTCTCTTTAAATCAAGTAAGTAGTACGTTTGTAGTCAAACATGCTATCTGTTGGATGGGAGATTGAATGTTTGGGTTGGTCATTAAGAGATGATTATCCAGGCGTCTCTTGAACACGCTCACAGTGGGGAAGTGCACAAACGACGTTAGCGATAAGGCATAAGTAAGTGACGGGTGTCAAATTATGTACAGTATATGACCTAACTCATTTGACGGCGTGATGGTGGAATCTATCGCCGTAATTTTTAGGCACCGAAAACATTGCGAATTTTGTTTAACCTCTTCCGAAAAGTGTCCCCTTTTCTTGCAGAATAGTTTTCTAAGTTTACAAATGCTAGCCGATATCTACATTACCTTATATTCCGGCGGTTTTCTATCAATACAGAAGCGAAACAGATGAGTGGATGTCTTCGAACAAGAGCATAAAATACATAACCAGAAATCACTTGCTTTAGTTTCTGCCAGACTTCATATAACACTACTCCTCGGGGGGGGGCATTTAATGAAAATTGATGTCGGTAAATTATTTTGGTTAAGTAACTATGCTTATGCCGTTTAAATTTGCCCGATATTTGCATGGTCCAACGTCATGTACTTCCAAAACTTGAGAAGAACCTCCGCGTTTCCAGAAGTTCCGCGTTCTTCTACGAAATGTTCATTGTTAGACAAAAATAGAGCATGCTTAATACTTATGATGGGTCTTAATTTAACTGAAGGTTGTTCTTTATTATTTGGATGTTTGGTAGATTCGTTCGGAATACTCTGAGACTAGTTTGTGCTTTTCTTTAATTTAGACATATTTTATGAGTTAAGTCATTAAATGTACGCACACAGTACGTTAAAGAAGCATCGAGTGCAGTTTGTCCCGAAATGAACAAGACACTGACTGAGATAGTCAATTATATTTTCAGTTTGAAAAAAAGGTTTCAGCGGCTTGGAATTAGTAGTACACACTGAATCCAATCGGAAGTTAATTTTCGAGAAAAAGCTGCATAACGCGTTGCAATGAGCTCGCCTGCACAAACGTTATTTCCTTAGCGGTACATATTTTAAACAATGTTTTCTGTTGCTTAACACAATTCTAATATTTAGAAAGGTTTTCTGTAATTGGAATAAATAAAAAGTTGGGTTTGGATAGTTTTTTATAGAAGGTTACCTCATGTAAATAACAAGAGTTAATTCGTAGAAAAACATCTAAAAATTAAAGGATAAGTGTAATCATCAAGTTTGTGATAATAAACTTGACTCTAGTGTGTTATTTTTTGAAGCACCTAACTCCCGTTTCCCAATTATTAAAAGTTTGTTTCTTGAGAAGAAGAAGACTGGATCGCTGGGACAATATGTTTATTCGCCTGACGTTTCGATATCCGTCGCGAATTCGTCATCAGAGACATGAGTAGCAGAAACAGGTTAAGCATGCACACAAGTTTGCAGTATTTATAGGACACTGTGTCCTATAAATACTGCAAACTTCTGTGCATGCTTAACCTGGTTCTGCTACTCATGTCTCTGATGACGAATACGCGACGGAAATCGAAACGTCAGGCGAATAAACATATTGTCCCAGCGATCGA